AACCTCACATAATATATAGTTATTGACCAAAAGTGTTCACTGGCATTGCAGCAATGCCCATAAAAATATTTAGCTTTGCAGTAGGTTACAGACAGACACATTTCAAGACTTGCCACTTGCGTTTGTCATGTACGAGTTTCATGATAAATCTCAGAGGTAGTTTTGCATTGCTGTCTATACTGTCATGTCAAAATGTAATTTCTGATATTCCTTGATAGATCTCAGAGGTCGTTTTGCATTGCTGTCAATACTGACATGCAGGGGCGGCTCGTGGGGCTAAAAAGTGGACGTGCACAATTAAGCTGTCGCATGCTGAAGATAGTCAAGGGCATAGTAAATGAGACGTTGTATAATTTTAGGATCTTTGTCGCTTTGATTTCTTGTACTAAATTTGTTTGTTAGCTTAACATCAATTTCGTTCATTCTGTGTTGCAACTGAACACTGAAGTAATAACTTTCACTACTCCACTACAAAACCATTCAAAGGCACAACTCGTAGGAGTCGGGGGGATATAAATAGACCCACTGCTCCGCCAACAGGAGGTGCAACCCCTTCACTGGCGATTTGTCGCCCATGGACATCTACGCTCAGGTGCACATGGGCGACACTTGCTTTGGTGCATCGTCTGTCTTCTATCGTCTTTCTTCCTTCTTCTTTCGTCCTTCCCCGAGCTGACCGGGGAATAAAAAATACAGTAGTTGGCTGTCCCATCAACAGGGGGTGTAACCCCCCCCCCCGCTGGTGGGATGCCACTCGTACGTCACTAGCTCTCTGACGTAGGGGTGGCATCTTTTGTCCGCTCTTGCTATGTCTTCTATCCATCTATCTTTCTTTCCGTTCTGTTGACCGAAGGTCCGGTCCAGCAAAGAATAGACCCCAAATCCCCGCAACGCGAGGCACCCTGTTGACCGGAGAAGGGGACCCTGGTGGCTGAGGTGTGGCTTTCCTCACCAACACGCCACTTTGGCCCTGGATTCGGTCTAGACGGGCGGGTGCAGTGGCCTACTGCACTCAATCGGTTGCGACCGGTTCATAGAACCGGTTTTTGGCCAATCTTGGTTAGAAGGCAAGATTTCTTGCCGTCTGATTGGGAGTATACCTCCAGGGTAGCCCTGACACCAGCTATGGACTTCCGAGCGGTGTCCCCTTGTTGGACTCGATAGCGGGTGGGGAGCCCTGGAGATGAATAAAAAACAAAATACACATGGATTCAATCAAAAACATTTCTCCCACCCCAATTCCCAACAAGTCCCAGACAGGAGAAACAGGTGCAACTCCTGGCCTGGGCAAGAGAAAGAAGGGCCTTTCGGGCGAAGATGCTGACAATGTCAGCATCTGGGACTTACCAAAAAGAACATCGTTGGGGTGGTCACCATTTTTGGTGACCTCCCCAAAAGATGAAAAACAAGATACAAATCTCACTACACTAAGCGTTTTTAAGATACACAAGTCCCCAAAATATTTCGGTATACACAAACCAAAATATATTAAAAAACTAGGATCCACGGACCTCCTGATACAAGTCAGTTCCAGCATTGAATCAGGCAACTGTTGGCCTGCACCTCGTTTGGTGGCATCTCTGTATGTGTTCAGCCTCACAGAAGTCTGAACACATCCAAGGGTGTCATCAAAAGCCGAGAGCTCTGCGGCTGTACGGAAGAAGAGATGGTTCAGGAGGTCGATGGAATTGTCCATGCTCGTCGTATCAAAATACGGCGGGATGGCAAGGAAATCTGTACCAACACGTGGATCCTTACCTTCAACACACCCACTCCACCAACCAAATTAAACATTGCATACTTAGAACTCGAAGTTAGACCTATACCGACACCGATGCGCTGTTTCAACTGTCAGCTCTTCGGACACACACAGCTGCGCTGTCGTCGTGGTGCAGCGTGTCCTCGCTGCGGCAAGGAAGGACACTCTGGGGAGACCTGCTCTGCAGATCCCTGGTGTCCAAATTGTCGACAGGGGGGTCACTCTGCATCTTCGACGGAGTGTCCGAAGTGGTGTCAGTAGAAAGCCATCCTAACACATAGGGCCCAGTACGGCGGAACGTTCGCTGAAGCAAGAGCAACTCTTTACCCAAAAGGATCGACGCCGAAGAATACAACAAAAACATATTCAGAAGTCCTGAAGACTGTCCCAGGGTCAGTAAACCCAACCCGAAAGGCCCTTCAGACATATAAAAAGCAGAACACCTGCAAAAAACAACACTCCAGTCTGGAGACGGAGGAGGACATGGAGTCCACTTGCTCCCCTCTTATCTCTCCCAGTCTCCATCCGCCATCTCCCCACACCCCCTCTTCATCACCACCCTCTCAGCCATCTTCTTCATCCTCACCCCCTTCATCATCCTCACCCTCATCATTCTCATCATCCCCCCCATCATCATCTTCACCCACAACATCCTCACCATCATCATCCTCACACAAATCACCACATCCTACACCCTCATTGCTTCAACCTCCATCCCATCATCCTTCATCCAATAATGCCCCTCCACCCACTCACTGCACTCTCTCCCCCTCCTCTACCCGCATCCGGGACTCCGGTCCTCTCCCCCTCCACACTCTCCTTTAAAAAAAGCTGCGGTCCACCGTGACCGCAGCAAAACAAAACAAAGACAAAGGTCACAAACGATCCCCCAAAAATGTGCCGAACCCGTGCCCTCAAAATAAATTAAAATGGCAGTTCTTCAGTGGAACATTCGCGGTTTGCGTGCAAACCAGGCAGAACTCTCTTATCTTTTGACCTCACACACCCCAAATATAATCTGTCTACAAGAAACTAAATTGCCAACACCCACATTCACATTAAAAAAACTATCAAACTTACAACCAAATCGCCTCTGGGGGCAACCCCATTTTAATAAATAACCAAACACTACACAGACAAATACAACTAAACACAACACTTCAGGCAGTTGCGGTTATGGTCACCCTACATCGTTCTATAATTATCAGTTCAATTTACATCCCTCCAAATTATCCTCTATCTTTAAGAGAATTAATAAACCTCAGAAACCAGCTCCCACAACCCTTCACCCTGTTGGGAGATTTTAATGCCCATAGCCATCTTTGGGGAAATGAACCAACTGACGCTAAAGGTAAAATCAGAAGATTTCTTAACAAAAACCAATACGGACTTTGCGAGCGCCGTAAAAGTAAAACCTTAATTAAAACAAAAATAAAAATCCCGTCAGGGGCCTGTCGTTACTTCATTGAGAAAGGCATTTTACAAAAATTTTCTTTTCTTTACCTAGGTGGGAATGGGTACCCGACTATAGGCAGCGAAAGATATTGTCAGTTTATGGGTGTTTGCTTCACCAGCGTTGCCCGGTATGCTTCCTGGGAAGCTGAGAATGTTTGTGAGTATTCTAGTTCTAGGGCCTGCTGGGGTAATAATAAGTGTAACTGTAAAGCGTAGAGAGCATGCAGTTGAGTATGGATATGCGATATATATAAATGTAATAAATTATGATGATTATTATTACCTTCATTAATATTTTTAAACATTATTATTA